GCATGCATTAGGTTTAGAAAAAAATACTCTTACGAACTGGGCTAAAATGTCTAACACAAGAGCCAAAATACAAGATTGGATCTTGGATGAGCAGTTTGTCAAGAGGCACGAGTGACCGGTGTGGGGGACGAGGAGCAAACTGCAGGGGCAGTTGCTTTCACTGTGCCATGAGCGCTGCATTTCCATGACAGATGCTTTCCTAGGTGACTTCCTCCTTTGTAAACATGGAGTGGGTTGGAAAAGGTTTGTTAAATGGTACCTTTGGATATTTTAGGGGAACTTAGAGGCAAGTAGCAGTAGAAGAGGAAACTACTCTCCTTCCTTTGGACTGTCCCACAGTGACTTTGGGACTGAGGGCCTTGAATCCACATGAGGGCTGGCTTGTCAGGAAGTTGAAAGGTCTCCTCAAGGCCTCCCTCGGAAGGCCCTGAAACAGAGTTGCTCTCCAGGACTTCAAGAGCACTGTTAGTCTTCAATTTTGTGCACTAGTTTTGCTCACAGGTCCTCTTGTACCTGAGGGCAGCTGTCAGCGTAGCAGCCTCTTGATATGGCCATGGGGTTGTCCTGCTGCTCCAGATTTATGGGCCAGGCTGTCTCTCTGGGGCCCCAGGTGGCATGTCCACTTCAGGAGACTGAAGATACCAGAGCAGGAGGAAATAAGTCTAGGAGTTGGAAAACAGGTTGTAAAAGGAAGAGTGGGGGCTCCAGGACCAGAGGAGACATCAGAGGTCTCTGTGGGTAATGACACGTTGGATATGTGGTGAAGGGCCTTATGGCAGGACAGCCTCTCCATGGGTCGGAAGAATGGTGTCCCCATGGGAGCACGTTAGGGGTGGAGCTTTTAGTTAAGTTTCCTCTGAAAGAAACCAGGTTTCTGTTCTCAAATCTCCCCTGCAAGCTGAACCAAATCCTCCTGCAGACGCAGCCTAACAGATGTAGTCAGGCCAGAGGTGCCCGAGGCTGAGGGACAAATCCTTGATCCTCACAGTGCTTTCCCTTTCCCTCACTGTTCCTGTGGCACAACCGGAGCAAAGGTTGCTCAGCAAATACCGCTCATGGAAGCAGCTCTCCTTGCAGGCACTTCAACTTTTGTCCTCAAGTAAGAGTTTGAACTCTTCCCTGGAGTCATGCTAGGGAGGAGTTTGGCTCCATAATCCTATTAATACAAACATACTGTCCACGGCTCGCTGTTTCATCAGGAGCAAAACTGCCCTTAACAGAGCAAGCTGCTTTCAGGACTCATGGCACTAACAGAAGTATTAAAAATAGCTGTTCTCTCTGCATAAATAACTATTGGTGTCTCAAAGTAAGGACAGGGATTGTGCAGCACTGTTGTAATTAAAGTAACGTAGCTTTTACGTGATGCAAACATTTAGTGTCCCCAGTTTTTCCCCAGCCATGCTACTGTTCTTGGTAGTTCTGAAGTTAAAAGTAATTTCGAGAACTTTCAGGTACTTTGCTTTCACAGACAATGCCAGCTGCCAGGCAGCCAGCTACCCACATCAAAAGGACAGGTCAATAAATAGTCTCTAACTGAAGACACCCATCTGCTTTGTGGTACAGTTAATTCTGATGTAATTCAGAGGTTTGTGAGTATTTGGTTTCTGAAACCCAATGCCATTTTTATTGCGGGACATTTATGTAGTGTCCTCGTCAATATTACTTTGTAAAACTAACGCTGCCCAGATATAATTGACCACATCGATGCATTAACCTCTTGGCGTTGAATAACACGTGTCCTTCTCAGCCTGGCTGGACCTATAGCACAGCCTGACATTTTGGTTCATCTGAATTAATGTTCTGTGCAAATCACATGCTTGCTTGAGCAGCAATAAAAGGGTGTTAAGCAAATCTGGCTTTGAATCAGGAGACTTACCTCTTGGTATCACATGCTTCAGGTCTTATTTCTGAAGATTTTCTTTTCAAGTCCAAAACCTTAAAGGCTTACACACATATTAAAACATAAGGGATAAGTGTTATGGGGTAATTGTGGTTGAACAAAACCTCTGATTGTCTGATGCTGGCCAAGTGTTTATAAATATTTGGTAATCAGCAGACTTTATTCGTCCAAATCCCAAGAAAGACCATCACATGCTAATGGCGTGTAATCCCGAAGGGAGCAACACAAAAACTAAACAAAATGTAGGGCAGCTCTCTCTGCCTTTAGGGGCAAACTTGAAAGTTTAAAAAACTGTTTCATATTCTTCTTCTAACAGTCTGGTACAACTGCTTCAGTGTTACTTATTCTTGTCCGTCCAACGTGAAAGGGTGCTTTGCCTTTCCTGGTACGAAAGGTCCTGTCAGCATTCACTTGATTAATGAGCTGGAATATCCTTCAAGGATTGCATAACTCTCTCATTTTATTTTTGTTTATGTTCTAGAGCTGGTTACGGCTCCTATTACATTTCCATATTGCACATCCCTAGAATATATTAGTGTATGAACAAGGTTCAAGAACTCAAGCTTACAACAAGCTCGTCCCCAGCCTGTTGTCCCATAGATTATATATGAGTGACAGTTAATGACAGCATCAAGACTATAAATTAGAATTAGTAACAACTTCGTGCATAAATGGTGTGAAGTCAGTTGAGTGGGCTTGCCTGAGGAATCCAAGCAGCAGTGGGTTGTGTAACAAAATTGAAGAGCTATCAGCATAGCCCCGCTCGTGCTTCTTCCTGAACTTGAGTTTTAAGGGTATTGCAAATCCAGATGGAGTGCTTCTGCTGCAAAAATACGTTGGGTTGGATTTCATGGAACAATTTTAATGCTGAGGCTCCTCTGGTAATTCTGTGGTAGTCGGTCTTTGTGAGATGAGATAACCCAGGACAGAGAAAGCCAGCACATCACTATAGAAAAGCAATCTATCTGGCTCTCAGTAACACACTGGGGTGCCCTCCAAAAAAGCTTGAGAGGGTTGCTGGGACAGACTGTAGGTAAGGTGACCATTTGCTTTAGCTCCGTAATAAAAAGCAAAGAAGTCTTAGCTGAATTCATTAATAGAGCTCCCTACTCCAAAACACGTTTGCAGTTAATTATCTGTGGTTTCCTGAGAGCTAGCTCTATAGGTTGTCTTTCTAATATAGACTGCCCCTTCGATTGGGAAACTGCCTTTTATTTTCTAAAAAGCCACAGAAGGTTGCGGCTGAATTTTGTCGTCTTATAAATGTATTTTCTTCTTTTGTATATGCGCAGTAGGGTTTTCCTTAGTTTCTTTAGGCTCAGGTGAACCAAGACTGCTACTTTATGCCAAATATTCATTACTGAGGGGTTTCTCCTAGCTGTTGAATAGCTGTGCTGATTATGGCAGATTAACCCTGTCTGGTGCCATTAGTCCTTTTCCATAACAAAATACACACACTTTCAGAGGGAATAAAGCATTTGGTGTGAGAACACATTCACACAGGTAATCTGAGTGAACTTGGCAAACAGAGGCACAGAAACAGATGGGTGAGGGTTTGAGTCCTATTGAACTGGTCGGTCAAAGGTTGTTTTTTTTCCAAAAACTAATTGCAGATTTTTGTCATGACTTCATTTGCTATTATTTCCTTGGTAGTAGGAAAAAAAAATTAAAAAAATAAGTTTAATTAATTCAGGGGAAAACAAAACCACAGTATGTGTGTTGCATGGGCTTGCTAAAAAAAGCTTAAAATGCAATGCTGGGCAATATACTGAAGACAGGAGTCCCACAAACCTAGGGAAGATGTAGGGCTCACGTAAGCTGACTTAGCAAGCAGTGTTCAAAGGGCAGGGATCTGCTGCCCTGCACACCAAGATGTGCTCTCAGACATCAGAACCAGACCCTGCATCAACTGAACTCCTGCATCTCTCTCTTGTTTTGTTTTCTTTCCAATATTCAGGCGCAATGTACTGAGCTTGTCCTCGGGAATTGAAGATATTGGTATTATCAAGTGGGATCTAGCACTGTGTCTTCTCCTCGTCTGGGTGATATGTTTCTTCTGCATTTGGAAAGGAGTCAAATCCACTGGGAAAGTAAGTGCCTTTTTACCCTTTTTATAATCATTGCAGTTAGCAGATGTTAGGAATCCTAAGTAACACTTTTCTTAAAGATATTCACTATTTCCTTGAAAACTAATGTATTTTTGCGCTGAATAAAAGAGGGATTCAGATTCAACTTTGCCTTTGGAAAGACATTGCCAGTACCTAAAATGCCTGTGAGTCAAGTAGCTGTTACTGGAACGGCATCAGGAAGCAGGTAGAAGCATGGCTCGAGTACCACTTTGTCCCTGTGAGGACAAGGGTCCCACTGATGCATGCCATGAGTGGGGAAAGCCTTAGGTGTGATATTGCCCCTTGGATACGGTAGTGTTTTTCAACCTAGTTTAATGAGAAAAGGCTTTTGAAGCCATTGAATATGTGTGGCTTGGCTTTCAAGCCTGTTGGTTGAGGCAGCATTACTAACAGAGGTAGAGAGGTCTCAAGATATTAGGTTCCCACATGTTTCTTGTCAGCTGGGTGGAAGGGAGCGACCCTGCTCGTGTCATACCTGAGAGAAAGGCCACAGCAGGAACCATCTTCTGTCAACCTCCAGAGAAGTCAGGAAGAGTGAGCAAGTGCCTCAACTGCACAAAAAGCATATTTTAGGAGTTTTACCTTGTTACACGCTGCAGAATCAACCAGGAGACAAAAACTCTGTAGGACACCCGACCTCATTAGTTCCCCTGTTGGCTAAACTACCTGCATTACTGTCATTTCTGTCTTGCTTTCTGTGATTTTTATCACGGAGCCTCGTTAAAGTCATGCTGGTGCCTTACCCTGGATTCCTGCCAGCTTTGCCCCGATGAGCAGCTTCCACCACCTCTAAAGCATGCATTGACAAATATGTTTGCTTCTCTGTTCCCTGTTGATTGATGTGACCCAGTGATGTGGTTGTGTAAGTTTTATAGTAAAGGTGAACACAATAAATCTCCCACAGTAGCTGAGTGGAAGCGCCTATTTCTGCAGTACCTTTGGCAAACCCGGTGTCTCCTCGGTAGAGGTTACGGTAGATCTGGGAGATTTTTCAACCTCCCTCTGGTACATGTTTTCAAGCCTCTGTGAAGGTAACGGCTTGAAACCAGATCTGTTAAAATCAGTTACCTAAAAGATTGTGGGGTTTTTTTGGAAATTCAGGGAAATAGTCTCATTTCTAAGACAAGGCCTATGAGGCCTACGTCCTCGCTGCAGCGTCTGAGCTCATGCGGGTGTGGAGCCAAAGCCCAACAAAACCATTGGAAAGTCTCCGGTTGACTCCATTAACTTTGGGGTCAAACAAAAGTAAACTGTAAACTCTAATGGAGGACTTGAATTATTTGAGAAGTCTCGTTTACTTTAAGAGATGGTTGTTTATAGCACTTCCCTGCTTTCCGGAGTGTTAATGGCTCTTTGGAGAGCAGAAAAAAAAAAAGGACATAGTTTTTAAATCTTATAGTAGCATATTTGATAAATAAAGATGAAACCATGAGAAAAAATAATTGTTGTGCTTACGCTTTGGATAATATGCTTGATCTTAGGAATTCCTCCAGTGTTATGAGAGAATCTTTACCTGCGGCGCAAAGGCCACTTCCTGAGTGCTGTTTACTCAGTTCCTGCAAATACATCAAGGCGTTTTTGTTTTTTTGTAAGAAAACTTTGACTTTTCGTAGGCCTGGCTTATGTTAAAAAAATTAGAAAGCTCAGAAATCCCCCTTTTATCCTTCTGGTGTTGGTGAAACTAGGCTAATGTGTAAAATATATTATTTGCCAGTGGAAAATGTACAGAAAATTCAAGGAGATAATTAAAAAGGATAGCTCCTTTCATTTTATGAAATTGGTCCAGCTCTGTGAATTATTATGGCCACGCAGGCTTTGAGTTCTCTTCGTTATTCTCAGTGGACACACTTAAGAAACATGGTGCATCCCGGGAGCTTAGCTGTAGTTAAACAAATTCTGGAAAACAAAAATACACTTTAACTCATGGCAGCAAACTGTAATTACCTGGGGATATCATCTGACTCCATGAAAAAATGCCCTTTCTTGGACAGTAGTGATTCTTGACTGTAACACAGCAGTTATATAAAAAATGAGAGAAAGCACTGATGAGCAAAGAAAACAAAATGTTAGAGGTCAAAAAGTGTGGGGCTAAAGATAGAACTGTCCGAATGCCAGCTCAATTAACCCTCACGCTGGAGATTAAAGCAAAGGGTTCTTTCATCAAATAAATGAGAAGATAACAAGAAGAGAAGAAGTAGGCTGTTATTCAAAGAGAGTGGGAATAGAGGTTAAAGATAATGAAGACATATTCTCAAACTGGATGAATAGAGCCTTAGTTTCCAGTAATGATGATGCTGAATAGGCAGCAAGGGCAAGAATGAAGTTATGGGACTGGAAATTACCACTGTGGAGGCCGATGCCAACCTGAAGGGCTTCACGCGTTCAAGGCAATGGGAAAGGAGATACAGTGGCATGGACCAAATTATCTTCACCTCTGAAAGAAGTGCCTTGGGAAATTGCCTGTAGGAGCAGTATAAGGCTGCACAACAAAGCTAGAGGTAGCAGCAGAACTTGCAAAACAATTTATGGGGTTTTTAAGTTCAAATAAAGAATGAGATAATGCTTCAGGTGCCCTCAGTGAGGAAATCGCTTCCGCTTCCCTGGCAGAGGTGCAGTTGTCACGTGAAGAGGACAAACAAGGCAAAGGCAGAATTTCCAATAGAAGTCATGAGTTGTATAAAATCCTGTGTGTTCTCTGCCTGAGTGACGTGAACACGGTCTGGGAGGCTCTGGAGGGATTAATGGACCTCATTGCCCCCAGGCCTAAAGCAGAAAGGTGGTAAAGGCCATCAAATTAAAAGTAGACTCAGAAACTCTGATCAGATCCTTTTGTCCCCATCGTTGGATCTCTCTTGATTCTGGAGGTGTAGCGTTGGCTGCCACAGACTAAACGTACTTTTTATTTTATTTTCTGTTGCCAGGTGGTGTACATCACTGCCACGTTTCCATTCATCATGCTCCTTGTTCTGCTCATCCGTGGGGTGACCCTGCCTGGAGCTGCAGAAGGCATCAAGTTTTATCTTTATCCCGATATCTCACGGTTAGCTGACCCCCAGGTACAGAGCTGGGAGTGGGGAGCGGGACGATTTCCCAAGCAAAGGGGGATGGTGGAGGGTGATGGTGGTGATGTAATGGCAATAGATTTATTTGCTTTTTTTTCCACAGTCTTTAGAGGTCCAAATATAGCATGATCATTAATGCTGGGTTATATTTTCCAGAGAGCTGCTTGAGAAGGTCACTGTTATATGTGTTAATGCATCTTTCCATGTGTACGTATGTGTGTGTATGCGTGTGTATTTTTTTTGTGTCAAAGGACTCTGAGGCTGTAGACTCTGTCCCGTTATACAATCTCAGCTCTCTTGTTGGTAAGGTAAGGGAGATGCATTTCTTTGATGAGGATAGTCTTTAGTTTCAAAGGAGAGACACATGAGCTTCACAGATGGAACAACAAGCGACAACTGTGAGTACCAGTGTCACTCAGCTCCCACTGCTCAGTAGGAGGTGATTGGGAAAGAAGTGAACGAAATAACAGAACAAAAACCCGTGCAAACTATGAGAAAAATGCTTTCTGAGGTACAGGAACTACCGTGGTGGAGCTAAGCTTACTCTTTCTGTATAGGCAGTGATTAAAGATTCCTGTCTGTGCTCACAGACTGCAAGTATGGGACACTTGAGCAGACCAGCATCGTTTCAGCCAATGGTGGTCACACGAGAAATGCAAAAACAAATGCAAATACCCCACCCCCCAAAAAAAACCCAGAACAAGGGATCTCTGAAAACAACAAATTATGGTCACAGTGAGAGGGAATAATGTCTTTCTTTGCTATTTCTTTCTAACGAGTAGGTGGTTAAAATAAAACTCCAGTGGTAGCTGAATAACTGAAGTAGGAGAAGTGTAATTGAAAGAAACACTGTGGAAATTTGGTTCATTCTCTAGTCCTGCCCTGTTTGTACAAGCCAGCCTCTTTGTAGGAGACGTTATATGTTATGAACGAATCATCTTTTATGGGACTCTATCATTTTTATGATCTGCTGTTAGCCCTAAGCCCAGAGTATCAGCCGATAATGTAGAAGAGACTCGTGTGAGCTGGCAGCCCCTCCCACGGTCTAGCAAAAGCATCACCTCCAAGGAGACACCAGTCAGCAAGGTGCTGAAAAGCGGTGGTGGGAGGGAGGGGGTAATGGTCTGCGCTCTTAGTTCTCACTTACTCAGACTCCTTGGTGGTTCCTACTGGCATTAGCAGACTTGTGTTAGCAGAAAGAAGTGAACAGATGGGATTCAATGGTTGCGTTTTGGTAGCTTGCTATGTATTTACTAACGGAGGAGTTGATAGTGTACTGTTATTTCACTCTGTATGTTTTTTTTTTTAATGTAATCAGGAGAAAGAATCATGAGACCAAGATGAGATACCTATCTTATAAAGTGCATTGTATTTTGCTTGTTTTCCCCCCACCCCTATGGCTTTTTACCTTGCATTTGAACAGTTACAACAACAACCGGAAAGCTAGGAAAATAAACAAAGCAAGTACACGTACCTGTTTCTCAAGCTTTTCACATCCTCGGTTTAGTGACTCTGTGGGCTGATTCTAACTGAAATGAGTTGCAACAGAAATAAGCAATGTTATAAATACTTGTGCATTTTTTATTGTGCTGAAACATGTTTATTGTTGTGCCAACAGGAAGGATCAGCTGAATGACTAAGAAACTAGAAATACTGAGCATTTCTGGGGAGGGGATACAGGAACTGTTGTAGAGATGATGTTCTTGTAGACTCTGATGCTAACAATTTTCTTTTCCTGATAAAAGCCAAACTTGCAAATGTGATGTTCTCTTCCCCTCTCTCTCCCTGATCCTTTGGCTATCACCCTCAATGGAAGCAATTATTTTTTGTTGATTTTGCCTAGTTTGAACTGTTTATTTGCATTGAGCGTTGCAATGCAACGATGCCGGTAATAACAGTCTTTCCGTCTTTCCCTTTAGGTCTGGATAGATGCAGGGACACAAATCTTCTTCTCATATGCAATCTGCTTAGGAGCAATGACTTCCCTGGGGAGCTACAACAAGTACAAATACAACTGCTATAGGCAAGTTTCCATCCAAGGGGGTTTAGTGTTTTAGCTAATTGATGTAAATAAAGTAGGGACAATGGGTTAATTTTTTTTTTAATTAACTTGCTCCATGACATATGTGTGACTTAGGGACTGTTTGCTGCTGGGATGCCTGAACAGTGGTACCAGTTTTGTGTCTGGCTTCGCAATTTTTTCCGTCCTGGGCTTCATGGCACAAGAGCAAGGGGTGAACATTGCTGATGTGGCAGAGTCAGGTACGATGGTATTGGTGGCAGTGGTGGTGGGCACTGCCGCCTAGCGTGTGAGCAAAGTTCTGCAGACTCAATCAGCTAACATCTAAGCAATAAAAACAGCACAAGATTTCCCATAATCTCCAGAAAAATAAGCGCATTGTTGATTTGGGCTTTCATCTAGAGCAGTGAGGGTTAGTACCGGGGTTGTACTGTTTATTCTGTCTTGATTAACAGGGCAGCGAACACATTTCCTAGAGCTAATCCGTTTGAGTTGAGATTAAGAGTTACGATAACCACTCCATTATCTAGGCTCCAGAATGTCATTGATTCGAAAATGTATTCCATCCTTCTTGTCAGACTACCTTTCTTTTCATTCAAATGCAAATAGCCAGCGTTTAGGCAATTTTCACAGCTTAGTTTTGCTTGCTTGCAGCAGAGCGCCGCAGCGGGAGTATTTCCTTGGCCTTGTGAAGGGACACACACGCAGATATTCCCAAATCTCACTGAAAGGCAGGAGGAGTTGGAGACCTCCATCTCCTGGGTTCTGTGGACCATGTCATCCACAGGACGTTGCAGCCCTGCATCTCCTCTCTAGCTTCAGGGTAGGGGTGACAGAGGTGTGAGAAGTCCATTTTGAAACTGGGTGTACACTGGGGTTCCTCCCTTATCTCAGAAGCGGTCTTCCCGTTAAGGTCCAGCTACACACATGCAGCTGAAGAAGGCTTAATCCTCACAGCATCTCAACGTATCTCAGACAAAACAGATGTCGTTTTTTTCCTCTGTGTATGTCTTGTCCATGAGGGCAGGTGTAACCAGGTGTTTCCATGTAGAACAGACAGATTAGATGGCAATTACCATTCAAAAATAACGAGTCAGGCCTCAGCAGCCATGAGGCTTAAAGCTAATCAGGTTCAAGTAATGACAGTGTCACCTGAGCGCACTTTTGGCATTTCCCTCTGAATTTTTGAGCCTGCGTAGTAGTTGAAAGCTTTCCTCTGCATACACGCTGTTAAAAAGCTAGAGTCAATATCTCTTTTGATCATACGGCTCTGGGAGTTAAGTCTTTAAGGAAAATATGTCACTTCACGAGGGCTAATGAAAAACTAATGACGTCGGTGCCACCACTGGATTCTCGAGTGGCTGCAATTGGCATTCCTCTCACAAGTGTAATTAGTTAACAGTCTTGGCCATAATGCTTATTTTGATTGGAGTTTGATTGTTCTGTTTGAAAACAGGAAGCAAGGGAATAATCCTATTGAATGAATCATAAATAGCCCCCTTTCTTTTTTTAATATGTAGGTGGATTGATTCCAAGAATAGCATTTTTAAGTATTTCCACATCAGGTTTTTATCTGGTCAATATTTATTCTAATTTTTATTATTAAATCTCTGATGAACAGGCAGCTATATTCCTATAGCTTGACGTTTTTTAAAATTAAACAATTTTATAGCAACACTGGATTCTTAATTAACGTTTAAACACAAATTGACTAGCAGACTTAGTGTTTACATAGCATTTTTTCATCAATAAACATTTTTTTAAAGGAGGGATTTTGTAGCTTATTATAGAGACAACAAGGGCACTGATTAGTTTCTGAACTTAGTTTTCAGTTTCTTGTTTATTTTGTCGTTGATTCCTTCACATTTTCTACTTCATTTAGATTCAGCCCTAGTCACTAATGGCCAGAGATAGCAACCATCTCACTGTTCAGTGGGTTGCCCATCCCCACTGGTTGGCCTTTGCCTAAATCCTAAGGAACATTTTTACATGACGGTAAACATTACCAAAATTATCCCAACCCCTCCCCATGGGTTTCCTCACAACCTTTCTCAGCAGAGCCACTGGAGACCGCTCAGTCCCCATGGGATGGGTGTCCACGCCGCTGCTGCTGCCGCTTGGCCGTAGCACCAGGGAGGGGACATTGTTCACAGGGCCAAGACCTCCTGCTCTCCCCCATCTCTGCCCATCAATCAGATGGTGACACCATTTGATTCCTTGTTGGCCCTCGTGTGAGCCAGGGGAACAGCAACAGATTCACTGACAGCAGAGTCTCATGGCCGCATTTTTCACCTGTGCCACATTCAGCCTTGGGGCGATGTGCCCAGGACATCCTTGTCATTGAAGGGTTGCTCCCACTTAAAGCACTGGGTGCTGCTGGCGGCCTTCACTGGCTTAGGGTTACACGACAGTTAGATTAGACCCCTTTGACTTCCCAGTGAGATGAGGCTTTTTAACAAACAGCATTTGATTTTTTTAAAAAATACTTTTAAAGGGAGAAAGGAAACAGTGGAGGCTTAACAGAGCCATAGCGAATCCTGTCTGATCTGTGTTGCGTCTCTGCCTGGGAGAAATACTTCACCGCCTGTGCACTTGTGTTAAAACAGCACAAGATTGGCCTTTTTCTTTTTAATCCCATTTTGCAACCAACTTCAGATTAAGCAGGCCTGACTGTAGCACCATGGCAGTCCTCATGAGCTCTTAATAGCAGCCACAGAGTTTCAAATTAAATTCCATTTTAGATTCTTTGTGTTCAGCTGAGGGCATGCCAGGAACATTTGCTTTTCACATGGACTTTCTATATTTCAACACTTAGTTTCAAGGGAAAATCAAAGCTAGCACAGGGCTTAGGGCACTTGGTGTTAGGCTGTAGCACAGCACAAGGACAGTTTCACTGGCCAAAGCATACAGAATTACAGCAAGTTTGAGGAGAGCAGTTTTACATCTGTCTCATCAATTGCACAGGAAAACTGGTAGCAGTTTTCCCTCAGGGAGGATCTATTATATCCGCTGAATTAGGGCGGGGAAAGAAAAGCCCCCCAAAATTTGAGGCATTCACCAATTTTTTGGTATCTCCTGTCATATAAAGCCTTAGTTGTGTTTCATTTTAAATAAAATTAGTTGCTCAATTGTTGGCTAATTTGTATTTATTTCTGTTCAAATATTTTCAGGGATTTAAAGTTTTCTGTAGTTTGAAAAAAGGTTTAAAAGTTGTTTAAAGAAATTCCTTTTCCTATTGAAAAATTACTTGAATCCACTTCAAAATCCTGGGAAATGCTGGTTTCTGATGCTCCTTAAAACAGTCAGGCAGATGAGCCAGGCTTTCCCAGGTTCAATCCGAATTTAAATCTGCCCTCAAATTTTTTTGGTCAGCTTCCCAAAATTTGTAGGGCCACTTTGGGAGCCTGCTGTAAATGCCGGATTGCCAGTGTTCCTGTCTCCCGCTGGAAAAAAAACTTTCCCTCTCCCAAAAGCTCCCATAGGCGGGAGCGCTGTGCGTCCGCTTGGTGTGTGGGTGTGAGTGCGATGCCACCTGGTCCATGGCGCAAACGAGACCCAATGTAGTGATGAGCCCTTGAAAAACAAGATTCTGGGGACCAGAGCAGAGAAGCCAGGCTCCAGCCTGGGGCTGGGGCTGATGTTGGTCACATCAGCGTCACCACAGTCTGGCCAAATAGGGACGAGTGATGCACCAGCATGGGGAGGTGATTTTACCCAGAGTGATTTTTTTACACACCAGCAATTCCTAACAGCAGGAAGCATTATTTTTTTCCAGGGACCACAGCTGATATAGCTAGGAATAGCCTGATCCCTTCAGTGCAAGTGAGGCTTTGCAAAGGAGCAGGCTCCTGGAGTGCAAGCCCCGCTCTAGAAAAGCCATGCCGGGTTTGGAGGGTGCGTGCAGAGGGAGGCAGTGAGGCAGTGGTTGTGTTAGCAGAGATCCTGGGGAATGTTTGGAGCAGAGTCCCTTCCCTGCATGCAAAAGAGCTTCATCATCATCATCTTCATTGTGACCATGTGGGTTAGCAGTGGGATTCTGCCATTCCCCTGGGTCACCCCTTCTCCCCCTGCCCCAAATACTGCCCTGTGTCCATGCAGGGCAGTTGTAGGACCACCTCCATGATTGGCATGTTTGAGACAGATGTTAAAACTGGTGATCTGTTAGCAATGGCCTCGGGGGTTTGCCTGTGGTTTCTGCTGTAGTCATGCGTGCTTCGATTTCAGATAAAAGAGCCAAACTGTTTCACTTCTGGTATTTCCAGCTGCGTTTGGATTTATCTGAACGGAACCAGGCATTAAAAAACCTTTACCAAAGAGCTGGTACTTACTATTTCTCTTCCCTTCCCTTCCCCCTTTCCTATTTTCTCTTTCTCTAGGTCCAGGCCTGGCCTTCATTGCCTACCCAAAAGCTGTGTCCATGATGCCACTGCCCACCTTTTGGGCAATCCTTTTTTTTATTATGCTTCTGTTGCTTGGACTGGATAGCCAGGTTAGTACGATGGGTAAGAGACGTGTGGTTTATTATCTCAGTGCTGCTGACTGAGAAAAGCTGGTTTCACAGGCAAGAGTTAAGAAGAAAATACCTCTAATGCTGCCTAAGAGGTTGCTTTATAGTGCAGGGACTGCGTTTGATGGATCCCTAGGTCGATAGTGGGATGTTGCCCAGTAAGTCTTCGTTATCAGGAGTTAGTGGAGTCCACAAGACTAAGATGGTACTCCCTAACCTAAATATCTGTCCCAGCCTAGCCACAAAATGCCGTCATTTTAGTCGCCGTGCAGTCTTTTCCTACTTTGGAAAAGAGCTGAATCATTTTAAACCATTGAAGACCACAGCAGTCTGTTCCACAGAGCACTTTGTGCTGTTGCAGTCCCCTGCAGCGTGTGTACACTGTCATTAAAAGACTTTGTGAGAATTAATAACTACTAGGAATACAGGCTTCGATAGCTGCCAGGTGCCAGCAAAGAAATGTGAAGCCATTGTGAGGCAGAAAAAAAAGCATGAAATGTTTCGCACAGCGTATCCAGGGTTGTGATAAAGCCACAGCCTTTTTCGGTGGCCATCGACTCGGAGCTGCTGAGCAGCTTGGGATTCTGCTGACTTTCACGTCACCCCTGCACATTCAGTGCCTCCAAACAGGCCAGAAAGCGCATTGGGTTCCAGCTGAGTTTATAGCACACGCTGCTATTAATTAGTGAGCAGGACAAAATCAAAACATTCGGTTCAAGAAGTTAGGTTATTTTTGCCAGTGGTTGCTTATAGAAATGCTGAACTAGATACTGCCAAAGAGCCTGTAAATAATTTCTGGATAGTCCACTTACAAGGGAACATGGGTGACCAGGGATTATGCAGTAACTGCACATTCAAAATTGCCAGTTTTCAGGACAACAGGCAGCTTTCTGCACTTAAATGGAAAGTCACTAAGATTGCAACAACCCAGTTGGTAAGGATAAAATGTTCGCTTAGCCTGGATGCTCTCTCGAATGAGGAGAGATCTGTAAATGGATTTTGACCCAGTTGTTGTGTCCTTGATCTCTTACATTTTTTATATTCCATTTGCCCTAAATTGCTCCGTATGGCTTAATCTTTGAACTCTAGTGAGCAGCTTTCAGTCAGTCCAAAGTAAATGTACAAGTGCCCGATGCCGTGGTTCAGCAACCCTGTGCTTATGCAAACTGGAAGCTGTCGAGTAATTTTAAAAAGCTCCTCGCTGCATCAAATGATTAAAACTAATTGGAGCGCTTAATTTCTCTTCTCCACCCCTCTGCTTTTTTGGAGTGCAGTCAAGCAGGTTTCTGGAATAGTGGAGCAGTTTAAGATCAAATCAGCCCAAAGGAAAGGATTGCATTTCAAAAGAAAACCAGTTTTACAGAAGTCAAAGTAACGAGACAGGAGGCAACAAAGTCTGGTGGAGTGTTTACAGGACAGGCTGTATTCACAAAATGGAGCTTCAGCTCATGGTCAAAGAGGGTAGAGCGGTTATGGGGCACTTCTGGGCACATCCATACAGATACTGGAAGGAAAAGATAGCTTTTCTTCAAATAATGCTATTTCATAGGCTCCCCGTGATGATGAATGCACTTAAAGTGAAGGGCATTTCTACAGAGGCACCTTGATTCCCCACGGTATCCTCACATCTTCAGTGATCTCAGTGCTTCTGCCAGGCTGGAAGTGCAGGGCGGCTGAATGATCCCTTCTTGGGATGTGTCTGGGGGAGAGTTCAGTCCTCACTTTTCTCTGTGGGTGAAGTGCATCTGCTTTTTATTAACTTTGATGCTTTATTCAAATCCGGTTTGGGTTCTTTGGTTAACTCGAGTCACACATCTTACATACAGTTTTCCAGAGGCAAGGAAGTACAAATACAGTTACCATGAAGCTAGGTCAAGTAAGATTTTTAGCTCATCTCTTCAGAGCTTTTTAGTTTATGCAAATATTTTACCAAATCTTTGCATGGGGACTGTATCAACAGCTCCATTATTGCTGCAGAAGTGCCCCAGAGCCCCAGTCAGAGGGACGCTGCTCACGGGTTCAGAAAAGACGAGTTCAGGCAAGAAGTGCTGATGTTTCACATCAAAGTGGCTGGATTTTCACTAGTGAACCCACAAGGGGAATTATATCCAGTTGTGGAATTAACCTGACCAGTACCTGTGAGGTTTTCTGGCACAGCAGAAAAAAAAGCTGGGTGGTACACTCCCGTCTTAGGCTTTTTTGAGCATTTTCTCCCTGCCTCTTTTCTAACATACATCTTGTATTTATCTGGAACAGCTACAACATAAAAGACACATAAGCGCCTTCCTGTCATCAAATTTAAGTCCCTTTATCCTTGTGGCTTGCGTTTAGGGAGCCCCTTTGGTCATGTGTAGGGCTGCTAGGAAATGAACGGTGATCCTGAGAGCTTATCCCAACCTGGAAACTGCCACCCAGCACAGCGAGGGGGGTGTTGTGCTGCGTTTGTTCGAGCGTGAACCCAGATAAAATGTAGGGCAGGTGGTTTTCAAGTCACGTTTCTGTGTTGTTGTTCTTCCCCTGTAGTTTGTTGAAGTTGAAGGACAGATCACGTCATTAGTTGATCTGCACCCATCCTTCCTAAGGAAGGGTTACCGACGGGAAATCTTCATCGCTATAGTGTGTTTCCTTAGCTATCTTCTGGGACTAACTATGGTGACTGAGGTAAGTGGTGCTGGCACTGGAAATCGCCTTATTTTTTAGCCAGTTTTTACACCAATTTTAGCCATGAATGAAATTGCGTGGAATTACACTCAGAGGAGCGGCGCTGTTTAGATCTATAGAGCATCTTTCATCCCTGGATCTGAAAGCATTTTGAAAGGGAGCGATATATTCCCCCCATTTTAGTCAGAGGAACAGAGAAATGAATTCCCATGAAATTCAATCTGATCTCAGGTACTAATCAACATGAGTGTGAATATTAACATCTGGCTCCAAATGATGAAACACACTGGGAGCCTTCAGCAGAGCAGGTTAAGAACCCATCCAGTGCATGCAGGGAAA